GGCAGTCCCTGGCTTGCATGCCAGTTTATTATTTTTCTTAGTTAATTTGTAAATTAATTAGGAATTTGTACAGAGTGAAGCAGATATATATATATATATAGTTTTAGTGCGAGAGAGAAAGGGAGGCTGGTTGCAAGCGTTGCAGAACGAGGACGTTCCCGGGTTATTTTAAGGCTGAAATAATAGTAAGATATTAAAAAAATTTAAGTCTCGTTTGGATGCAAGTTTTTGGTTAAAATAATAAAAATAAAATAAAATAATTAATAAGGTAAAATATTACATTTAAATTATAATTATTATTTTTATAATTATCAAATTAATTATAAATAAAAATTAGAAATTATCTCAAGTATAATTTTTTTAACCAAATTAAAATAGTCAAAAAAAATCAAATTAAAAAACTCATTCCAAACATGCATTTAGTACATATTATTTATATCATTTTAATATAAATTTTTAAACAAAATTTAAATATTTCAATATAAATTTATATTAAAACAAAAGTAATTATTTGAATATAAAAAATTAAATCAGCTTTGGCCATCTAGTCTCTCTGGGTGGGGAGGTCTTAGGAGTGGAATAAGAAAGTTAGATTTTCTTGCAAAGTATACGTCTATGAGTTCTAACTCACTCGAGGTATCAATTTAACAACTAATTATTTATTTTCGTCGATCAAAAAAATAATTAAATCAAATATTTATTTGAGATTTTTATTTTTATTATTATTTTATTTCTGAATATTATTTTTTGTTCAAACAAAATAAATGATATGTGATGAGATTTCTTGTGACGGGCAAATAGAATTTTTCAAATAATAATTTTACAGCAGTAATCCAATAGTTTGAGTGATATTACACTTTTGATTCTCATTTTTCAATTTTTTTTTTTTTCGTGCTTAGAGGTCCAGCACCACTAATTTTCGATAGGGACTGGCATCGGATTGGAGAAGTATTGTTTGGTTTATTGGGTCTATTTTTTAGTCTTATTTTAATAATTCAAATCGTTCATATTTTAAGATTCGTCGAGTACACTATTCCTGCAAAAAATCAAGTCGCTCGGATAACTGCAACCACATGTTCAGATCAATTTGGTATTACAAAAATAAATAATGAAAAAATAAACAATTCATATAAAATTGATCCGAATACGTTATTATCGTTATCTGATCAAATTAATTTTTTGTAAAAATAATATACTCGATGAATTTTAAAATATAAACAATTTAAATTATCGAAACGAATTTAAAAAATAAACCCAATACACTGGATTAGACTATCCAATTCGACTTCAGACTACATCGCGATTCCAATCGATACACAGTCCTCGCCCCATAAATGCTAGGTGAGTCACAGGAATAACCTTTATATGCACTTTAAAATAATTATTCGGCACTCATTTCTTAAAACACTTTATATTTAAATTCTTCTTTCTTTTTTTTTTAACACTTTAATTAATTTCAATCTTATCTCACACAACTGGGATCTGTCGTACTAAAAGCACAATAGTAACCATGGTACTTCTATTTAAAATGTATTATGGTCTTATTTTTATAATCCAAATCGTTCATTTTGTAGAATTTGTTGAATACTTCATGTCTACCAAAAATTATATTAATCAGATATCAAAAATTATATAATCGATAACCAAAAAAATAAATAATAAGTTTTTCTATTGAAAAATAATATAAACAATATGCAACTCGATCATATAGTTATTGATATCCGATTAATATGATTTTTAATAGGTATGAAATATTTAACAAACTCTACAAAATAAACGATTTAAATTATAAAAATAAAATCATAATACAACTTAAATAGAGGCATCATAATCACTACCATACTTTTAGCACATCAATGACCCTTTTTCCCCCAGGTCACCCATTCAACCATCCAGGTATCAAAAAGAGTCCCAAAATGAGCCCATTTTCGCCGCACAACAGATGCTGCTGCGCAACCCCGCACAGCACGTCCCCAAACCCTGTTTATGGACCGTCAATACAAATGTTCCACATTAGTCAAAAGTAAATCCTATCTCTAAGTAAGGGTGGTCGTAGTTTGATTTGTATCAGGATCCTCTGAAGTAATTGGCCTGAAGTGATCCCTGAAGTGTATTGATCCAATGGCTGAGAATCTAACTAATCAAACGACGTCGTTTTGGTTAGTATTTTGGTTAGTAATTTAAAAAAAAAAAAAAAAAAAAATTTAAACCTGATTCAAAGTTCCCAAATCATCTCCTATCATCGCTCTCTCTTCTCTCTTCTCCATTTTCAACCCAACCATGCTCCCCATCCCTTCTCCCGTCACGCTTTCAAACCCATATCAATCGCGACCGGCATCGCCTTTCTCCACTGCGAAAGCAAGTACAAGAGAGAGAGAGAGATATTTGGAGTTCCAAATCTCCAGATCTGAAAAAATGAAGAATAAGATCCACCTTTGCAAAAGCAAGTAAGAGAGGGAGAAATCTGGAACCCCATGAAAAAAAATTAAATAAGAGACAGGAATAGGAGTCGGAGATGAAGATGAGAGACCGGTCGGAGGTTGATGCTTTGCGGAGGAAGAGTAACTGTGGTGGTCGGTTATGGTGGTCGAAAAGGGGAGGTGGTAGTGAAGGTGATCGCAAGGAGATGAGGGCTAGGCTTGGGGCTTGCTGGTAGAGAAAGGTGGTTGCAGTTTGATGGCCATAGTCGACGGCGATGGCTGCCTCCGAAATCGTTCGCGGTGGCTATTGGCGTGGGAGTGAGATCTAGGGTTTAAAAAGTGAGAAGCTTGGTATTATCAAAAGTGTAAAGAGGAAAAGGTAAAATTGATTGTGGTATAATGAGAAATTAGGTGTAAGGAGACAAAATTATTGTGCAAGTAGAATTACTCCTGTTTAAAACTTAGTGTAAACAACAATGATAGAGACCACTAATTTTGGACTTCTAAAAAGACTACTAATGACATGGCACTCAATAAAAAAAGAAAAAAAATACAACACCAAGACCAAAACATCAAATCATTCCTGGTAGGACCCACTGCCACATCATTAGTGATAGCACTAATTAGTGCTCTCACTCATTTTCCAAATGAAATGGGTGTAATTTAACCATGTTGTTATCCTGTGAATTAGTGCTCACAAGATCTTGTTTGGCAACATAAGTTAAAAAAATCAATAAATTATATTTAAAAAGTCAAAAAATCTTTTTTTCTTTCTATTTTTTTTGTATATTTTTTAATAAAAAATTTAAATATTATTTCAAAAATATTAATTTTTTTTATCTTATATTTTAACTAAAAAATTAAAAAATTACTAAAATAATTTATTTTCAAATGAGAGAAGGCTAGCTTGGCTGACCATTCCCACATGCCCGCCTCACACGAGCAAGGATCCTCTAGAGTTTTTTTTTCCTAAAGTTTCCTAGAGTGGTGCATTGTGTGGTTGAGATTTAATGATTAGTCACATCAATTTTTCAGCATTAAATCTCAACCACACAATACACCACTTTAGGAAACTTTAGGAAAAAAACACTCTAGAGAATCCTTGGTGGCCTCACACAGGACAGAATCGGTCATCATGAAAACCAAATGAAAGATTTTAAGAAAAAGGCATGGCTTCTCTCCAGTCCTTAATCGGATTAGACTTTGTTGTTGGTTCTGTAGAAGTTCATCACGGGTTCCGTTTTGATAATTTGAACCGTTCAATATGTAGAACTCGTCGAATACTATATGTCTGTAAAAAATCACGTTATGTGATCAAATCAACTTTGTATAAATAAAAAAAAATAGACGGTAAATAAATTAACGGTTGACAAAAATCTGTTTTGATCACATAGCTATCAATATCCGATCAACGTGATTTTTTACAGGCATATAGTAATCGACGAGTTCTACACATTGCACGGTTCAGATTATCAAAACGGGACCCGTGATAGACCTTTACGGACCAAACAGTACGGTCCAATCCGATTAAGGACTGGACAGAAGCCATTCCGTTAAGAAATTAAAAATTGTGCATAATATTTATATGATTGTAATGAAACATTTTTATTGCATAATTGAAGAATTGTGAAATAATTATAAAAATTTATTATTATTTTAAATTTAGAAAATTATTACAAATAACCTAAAGAAGGGCGTTGTTTTGGACCCATGTGGTCCACTATAATTTCCGTTTCAATTATTCAAATTATTATTTATTTTTTTTATCAAGCTCTCCGGATGTATCAACCATAAAAAAATTTAGTTGATTCAATAATTATAATATATTTAATTTATCACGTTTGTCACTAAAAAAAAATTAAACGATAATTATATTTTTAAAAATAAATCATTCATTTTTTTTTTTAGCAGTGGAGGGTGTCACCTGTAAAACATTTCGTAGTCTTGGCGGCACAGATTGCAATTTCAGTGGGTGGTTCTGCTTCTCTGGTTTTGGTCCACGACTAATGGAGAAATCTGCTTTTTTCTCCAGGTCCTTAGTTCTGGTTCTGCAAAGATAGCAATGCTGGCTAGTTGCAATGGAGTAAAGCTAGGTTGGAGAGGGAAAGAAAGATTAAAGGTTCGACCTGATAGAACAATCTCTTTAATTATAATTTAACTTACTAATAAATTAATATCATACAATCTTGGGCCAAAAAAAAAAAACTGGAATGGAGAGAAGGCGATGGCTTCGAGACGAAGGTAAGGTGGTGGATTGTAGGTGTCGAGGGTGAGTGATGTTGGTGGTGCTAGGAATTGGGAAAGGAAGAAGGTGGAGAATTAAATTAGGAAATTTAAAAGAATAAATTATTGACATCAGCCTGTTCTTAGAACCTAGTGCTGTAGAAAACCACGAGAATGGGTGTATTTTCCAAAACAAGAGGGAAGAATTTATATTAAACATAAATCCTAGGGAGTGTCAGCACAATTTACCCTCAAAATAACTATACATACATTCTTTATTTGAATATATACCTTCAAAATATATAATCAATTAAAAATTAACCAATCACAAGGATACAACCTCCACAAACAAACCAATCATATTAATAAGTCATTCTGTGCCTCTGCATTCAATATCACAAACTTGTACGCTAACCACAGAACAAAACATAACTCATAATAAAATGGTTCCAAAAAACAAATGCAGCCAAATTCATCAAAAATTGAGGAACATCATGATATATGGTAAATTCAAGATCCAATCCGGTACCAATTACAAGTAATGCTTCAAGGAGAATCACAAAACATAATATGGAGATAATGTCTGCTGAAATAAAAGGTTGTACTTGCTTTGTTTAGAATTCGATGCTCCGGATCCACCTCTAGATGCAGAAATTTCACTAGTGTTCACTTGATCTTCTTCTTGGGCCTAAGCTGCAATACCGAATACGATATCAGAACCAATAAACCAAATACAAAAGAGAGTTGCATGGAGAACTACTTCAGATAATAACTCAAATTTCATGTGTTTAGTAATCCACATTAGATTGTAAATCATAAATAAAATATTTAAAACTTAGCAAAACACATAACAGTCAAAGAATTAAAAAGTTAAATTAACTAGTAATTCAGAGCAAAGCAGAGTAAAAACCTGGTTGCTATGGCCACACTTCTTCTTCCGGCAGTTCACAGCCCTTGGATGCAGGCGAGCATAGCATCTAGCATGAGAGGAAAAAACAAAAAGGATAAATGAATATTTAACCAGTAAGAAAACAAGAGCATAAATAATTTAACAAGACAAATGGCTATAAAAAATATAAAAAAAGTACCAAGACAATATACACAAAACTAATAAACTGAGGAATTAAATAAGCAGAACCACTGATAGGAGGAGGCAAATTGAGAGAAAAAAGAAGGCAGGAAGAGAATGGAAAAGTAAACAGTCCAAAAAAATGTAAGATTTATTGCAGAATGCGGCAGATCTTGTAAATTGATCTGACACTTTAAACATGAAAGTCATAATACCAGTAAAATTGTTTAAACTCCACAGGGCACTGCTTAAACTTCAAATGATTCTCTATCAAACTCAAAAAGTGACAAAGATCAATGCATGCTATTACCATACAGTACTGTTAAAGGGGCAACTCTTAGGATAACCCGTTGATTGACATATGAAAACGGGCGCGTATAGGTCCAGTTTGGTGTATGTTAAAATAATAATTCCAACTTTTGTATTTACTTGCAACAATAACTCCCTAGATTTAGACTTTTTCTCCTCCCAGAAAATCAAAGCCTAGACAGTCACCATCATAGTTTACCTTTTGGCCCTGTGGTCCTTAATTTGAATGAATCTTTACTTTTATCTTATCAAAGAAACAAACACGAAAAAAAGTATTGAAATGTACATTCATTTTGGGCCATCAGATCCAAACAGTTTTCAATGACCCAAATTATGATGAAAACTAAAACCAACCACACGAACAGTCAGTATTAGATCAGACATCAAGTCAAGCTCTTTGCAAATGGTGCTGAATCAATTCCAACAAAAACCAGAAATAAAAAATAAGCTCCAAGAGGTCAGAACAGAAGAAATTAGACGGTGCTCAGTATGTTGAGAATGGATTATAAAAATTCTCCTCATAAATTGTCAGATTAACGAGATTATAACATACCTCATCATCGCACCTCTTCAAAGATAGATATTGCAGGATATATATACATACACATGCTCATTGCTGAACTCTATAAACTCTCACCTAACCAACTAAAAGCCCCTAAAACCCATCCCTTAGGAACCCCCCAACTGTTCAAGTTTTTTAGCAATCCCTAAATAAAACATGTTAAGGTAGCTTATAACAATGCCAGATAGGCACTTATTGCGCTTATTAGAAGGGTAGGCTTGCACCTGCAGACTAGAAACAAGTCATGAAGAATACTCAAATACCAAAGGAAGAGGCAGACAAATAACACATCAGGCTCAATTGTTAAGGCTATATAAGGACCCCATGAATCAAGAATATGCTCAACTCCAGACCATAAAATCTCAATCCTCAAGAAGAAGTAGTTTATCTATGTCATGCTCAAGAAGTAGTTTATCTATGTCATGCACCCTTGAACAAAACCGACATTTACATACCACAAAACACAAACAATCAAAAGAATACACAATCCATGTTTAAAAAAAATACACATTCAAGTAGATAGCTTCACTTGAAATGTTTACACTCAATATAAATTGAAAACACAATGAGACTAGGCTTAATATCTAACATTTCACAACGATATACTCCTCAAATATGAATGAACAGTCAACAGCAATAATAAAGTACTAATTTATTGCAAAATTTTCCTGCCTAAGAAACTATGTACCACTCATGAAAATCAACTGCAAATAAATCAATTCAGCTGACAAAGTTAAAGAATGATAGTCAATATAGGGAACAATGATACCCTCTTCAGCACTAAGCAGCAGAAGAGGTTTTAAATAATAGTCCCATCAAGCAAAAGAAGCTAATAAACTATCAAATAACAGGGACATCTAAGTATTGATACACACCAAGTCAAACAATCAAAGGAAAAAAAGAGGTGGCGATCCAAGCATCCAACAGTTCCAAGCCACTACTTACCACTATGTTAGTACTAGAATTGACATCAATTCACGCAAAGAAAAATAAATAAATACAAAAACCCAAGTCCAAGACTTCTAAATCTGTCAAGACTCCAAAATAAAAGAAATGCTTGTAGTCTCTCGGCTAGGTGAGGGGAAAAAGAGAATAAAATGATTGTGCTTTCTCACCATCATATTTGGATTTGGATGAATAAAAACCATCATATTTGGATTTGGATGAATAAAAACCCAAAGTATGTAATACAAGAATATGGGAGGATCTTTTTTGCTTTCCTCTGAATTTTAATGGGCAATCACAATTTCATAAAAAATATATATATATAAAACCTATCAGTTTGTGTCTCACATAAACTCAACACTTTTTGGTGAGGAATGAAACCTAAAAAACAAGGGACGGGAGGGTTCTCTTTATTTTTATTTCTTATCATCTCTCATCAAATCACTAGAACCAAAGGGAGTGTTATTGATTGACTAAGGATTAAAAAATAACAGAAGCACAAGAACCTAGTTGAATTTTCTGAACAATCAAGCAATCCGTTAAGAAATCACAAACAAACAACTCAAAAGATAAAGGCACATCAATTAACTGGAATTTATCATAGAGCAGTTTGAAGAACAGGAGAGAATAGAAACTTACTTCCTGCAGATCATCTTGTCTTGATTGTATTTGCGAGCCAAAGCCATCAAAGAAGGCTCTATAATCCCTCCTCTAAGCCTCAATACAAGATGAAGCGTAGACTCTAAATCCAAAAAACAAAAAACAAAAAAAGTCAATTTTTTGTATCAAAACCAAGACAAATGCTTTCAATTTATAATCATAAAGACTCGATTTTGCCTACATTTGTAGAGAGAGAGAGACCTTTCTGGATGTTGTAGTCGGCGAGGGTTCGGCCATCTTCAAGCTGCTTTCCAGCGAAGATCAGACGCTGCTGATCCGGTGGAATTCCTGTGCAGAATCACATAAATTTAACAATATACTGTTCATTTCTCACTCTAAATATATTCATTATACATACAAAAACACGTAAACATGTACATATATATATATAGAGAGAGAGAGAGAGAGAGAAAAGAGTTTGAGTACCTTCCTTGTCTTGAATCTTGGCCTTGACATTGTCGATGGTGTCGCTGCTCTCGACCTCGAGAGTTATCGTCTTCCCCGTTAGGGTTTTCACGAATATCTGCATCTCTCTCTCTCTCTCTCTCTCTCTCTCTCAACTTTTTTTTTCTTCGTATCGACTGCTCTACGGCTTGCGTTTTATATGACTTTTTCTAGGGTTTCAAAGGTCGGTCCACGGTTTTTTCGCGGCCCATGTTCGATTCGGCTTAAAACAACAAATTTATGGGGAAAGGGCCCACGATATGGCATGTTTGGACTCAGCCCAAAGAGCTGCATAAAAATATGGGGTAATTACAACAACAACAACAACAACGGCAAAAAAAAAAAATTCCAAGTTCGAGTTTTATAACAAAAATAAATTTTTTATTTTATTTTTATTTAAATTCTACTTTTGTAATTTACACTATTTGTCTATTTTCGTTAAATAAAATCTACTAAAAAATATTATTTTAGTCATTAAACTCGATGTAGATATACATTAAATGTCTAAAATAATCGTTTTCATTAATTTAATGACTAAAATATCTATTTTTTCATCAATTTAACTTAACAAAAATAGTCAAATGATTTACATTGAAATCAAATCAAAACTGTTAGTTTTAAATTGACAAAATTATTGTTACATGGCTCAAATCCTAAGATTTTTTTTTTTTTTTTTTTTGTAATTTACCCAATATGTAAGAATATAATATAAAATAAAATTGCACTATAAATTTTCCTCTATATCCATTGTATACTTGGTAAACTTTGTACTTCATAAAAAATATATATATTTGTCTACTATATTAGAAGCTCCCATTGTCACGCATCAAATTATTAATTCCATGCTCATTTCAATGTAGCAAATTTCCTCCATATATCAAATCCTATTTCTTTCTTAAAAAATTATAAATTATTTTAATATCACCTCTAAATTTATCCATATTAATGTTGCAAAGGATTGGATCTTGGTTTATTTTTAAACAAATTAACAACTAATGTACACTAATTTATATCATTAATATAAATTTAGAGGTGATATTTTAGCAGCATTAAGCATTTTTCATTTTTTAGGTCACATTTTGAATTTGTATTGTAGTTGGGATGTTGTTTAAAATGTCATGTTTAATTTTATACCTAAAAGCTAAATTTTTATTTTTATTGAAGAAAATAAAAAAAGAGAAAAATGAAACCCCATGTTTGCACAATTTTTTATTGAACAACGCCATATGTATTAAAAGTTTTCTTTCCATTGTTTCTTTTCACTTTATATACATTATATACAATTATTTTAAATTTATTAAGAAGTGTCCTACCAAAACTTGTGAACAAAATTCTTGCGTGGAGTTTAAATCCATCGATAGCCTTTTAACTTAGGCCTCGTTTGGGAACAGGCTAATTTAGTAACTTTTTAGTTATTTGACTAAAATATGAGCTAAAAAAAACTTATGTTTGGGATGACTTTTTGACTTTTTACGAAAAGATGTGCAAAAAGTAGAGAGAAAAAAGAAAATCTTTGACTTTTTGGTATGGATTATTGGCTTTTTGACTAACTTTTTAACTTTTTGACTTTTTGACTAAAATAGATAGTTCCCAAACGAGGCCTTAGTCTTGGTTTGGCAAATCATTTTGGCTACATAATCACAAAAAGATAAATAAAAAAATAAAAGTTACAAAATTACAAAAAGATAAATAGTTACAAAATTACTAAATTAATCCATGTACAAATAAAAAATCAAAAAAATATTATTTCCAAGTGAAGGACAATTTTATTGTTCCAAAGTCAAAATCAAAAGAAAAAAAAAAAAATACCAAACAATCAAAAAAATCTCAAGTTAAAAAAATTTATAAAACCAAAAAATCAAAACCAAACGAGACATCGCCATAGGCATCGAATGATTTATATGATTTTGTGTCAACCCGTCCATCTTTTTCTGTCTTATTTCTTTTCTATCTTTAATTTAAATATCTATACAAACTATACACCCCGGTCACCTACCAACACCATCATCGTCACTTTTCAAAATAGACAAAAATTACTTAAGCAAATCAAACAAAATGCAAAATCATAGAAAATCAAAAAAGACTCATAAATATCAGAAATTATTGAGTTTCATTCTTTTGGCATAAATTTCAGAAATGATTGACTCAAAATTATATAATATTTTCCTTAAAGTTTCATTTTATTCATTTCCTCGTATTCATCTCGCCCTTGCTCTATTCCCACCACAGCCACCATAGATCCACACAGCTCCACTCCACTAGTACTATCAGCCAACGTCCAAAATCCCAGTAAAGTTATGAAGAGAACTTGTATAGAAAAAAGAAAAACGTTCGGAGAAAGAATATCTTAGCTCTAGAGCAACAATCATTTTACAGAACTTATTGCCACAGATTGAGATATCACTGAGATGGCTAGTCCAAAGACCAGCCGCCATTGATTCCCAAAAAAGGTTTCACATAAACTTAGACAATATTTGTTTGGGTAAACATAAATTTCGAATTGGACTAATAGTTTAATAAAATTATTAATCTGATGTTTGGTTAAATAATTTAAGTACGAAACTAATAATCCATCCGAATATGATATCCCACATATGATGAATTATTCAATCCTACTGACGGAGATAACGGAAATAGAATATAAATTGAAAGATTAAGCCAAAATCTGAATTATTAATCTCTTTATAATCCTAACTCAATCCAAATATAAGATAAGATACACAATCCAAAAAAATTCGTAATCCTAAGACTATTAATCATAAGAATGCTAATCTAACCTAATCAAGTAAAGCCATGTACACCCAAACAAACATGACCTTACTCGATTACTAATCAATAAGGATTACTAATCAATCCAAAAATAAACCTCGATCAGCTAAGTATAGAATGGACAGATCTTGCTGAAGAGAAAAACATCCAAGCCTTGCAGGCTAAACGACCTATTTTAAAAATAACTTCACGAGACACAAACTACATGCATCACCGAAACAGCTAAAACACTGCTGAAGACGGATAAAATAACACTTTCAACGTTAACTGCATAAACCGAGTAGTTTAATTGTATAAATATAAGGATAGCATATTTAAAAAGCTTGAAATCCAGCATTAGAGAGTGACTCGTTATCTTTCAAACTTGTGGAGCTCCAAATCATCAAATATTGTCTAAACCATATTCAAAACTACCCAAAAAAGAAAATTGTTCAGAACCGAACATGAAATAAGAGGAAGCAACTTAACAACCAAAACTGCAGACATGCTTGAACATAATGAGAAGAATCAGAGCCTTCTTCCCCTTCTGCCACCCTTTCGGCGAGTACTGTCGGTAGGAATCGGAGTGACATCCTCTGAAAAAGGGCAGAATGTCAAATTAGCAACCATAGTGATGCTTAATTGTGAGTCCAAGTTTAGAAGAAGATAATGAATTTCAATTTAACTAAAATGACAATTCTGTGACTCGTGCCACAAGCTTGATCAATTTGGAATGGACGTCCCAGTAATGAATCAAATTCACATCAATGTCTTAACATTACTTCAAATACTCAATAGCAGGAACAATTGACCCTACCCAAAAGGCCAAAGAAGTATAGTATTCAGCAATTAACAAGGAACATGATATACGAAATTCTCAACAATCGCATAAATCAAAACTAGCAAGTGAAAACAAACCAACCACTGAGTGGTCCTATTATAACCCCAAAGAAGTATAGTATTCAGCAATTAACAAGGAACATGATATACGAAATTCTCAACAATTGCATAAATCAAAGCTAGCAAGTGAAAACAAACCAACCACTGAGTGGTCCTATTATAACGGGGTTACAAACACACCCCCAAATTCTAATAGAAGTACACTAAAGCGAAAGATTTTCGTACCTATGCGACCAATTTTCATGCCTGAACGAGCAAGAGCCCTAAGTGCAGACTGGGCACCTGGACCAGGGGTCTTAGTCTTGTTCCCTCCAGTAGCCCGGAGCTTAATATGAAGAGCGTTAATGCCAAGCTCCTGCAATTAACAGCAATAACTAGTAAAGTAGAAGTCCTTGACAATAACGCATATACATACATACATGTAGAGAGGGTATACATTAGGCTAATCACATACATTAAGAAAGATAATGAAAATATATGCCATACAGAAATGACTAAGGAAAAGAAAATCTACATGATTTTATATTCAATCCTCCCCCCATCCCTCCCTCGAAAAATGGCAAGGATATGGGATATGTGTCGGATACTTTTTAATAGATACTTCTAATATAATTATATTATTATATGTACATATTGTTGTATAATTGCTATACATTTTTTTTGGCAATATAGGTTGCATATAACACCAATTTATCTCACATAGTTATACATATTCCGTATACCCTTATTAATGGTTTGATGCGTCCGACATCTAGATACATATCAGCACCAGCACCCAACACCCATACCCGAATCCATGTAATACAATGTATTTAATGCATCAAAATACATTCAATCATAAAACAGAAAAAAAACAAATGACTAAAGACCTTGCATCGTTGTGAAACATCTTGTGCTGCAAGCATGGCAGCATATGGTGAAGATTCATCTCTGTCAGCTTTCACCTTCATACCACCTGCACCAAGGTAAAGCATAAAAAGACATGTCGTAGAACTGCGGATAAATAATAGAAAACATAAACATGTCTCTCATAATCTCATTACAATTTACAAAAAAGGCGCATCCATTAACAGTGAGAAACAACTTAATCAAGATGCCACCAAGTAAAATAGGGATCATAAGATTTTATAACTTAAATTCTGCAATCTGCGTATATTAAAAAAAGTTGTTTTTAATACAGTCCTCAAAAACAAAAACTGTTTAGCAACCAAGGTACAGATGATCTAATATGGTATCCACTCCAGCATGACAATTTTAAACAACCGTAGCTGAAATATCAAGAGCCACTTGAAGAGAATAGACATAAACTAGTAAATCATACCAGTAATGCGAACCAGGGTTTCTCTTCCTGACAAATCAGTCACATGCTGTAACACAAACATTGCACTAATAAGTAATCAAGCCACAGCCAGCTTTAATGATAAGAAAATAATGTTACCATACTTACAATGAAGGTGTCATTAAAAGACGCAAAAATGTGGGCCACACCAAACACAATCTCCCCATCTCGTACACTGGGACCAAGAGTCACAGTCTCCTCCTTGGGTTCCCTGACCTTTCTCCTCGACTATGAAATCACAACAGCAACGTGAAACTAAAGTCTAAGCATCAAAACTCAAATATGGTATTGATTATTAAACTATTGACCAATCTGATTGCATAGTGAGCTAAACCTTAATTTCAAACTAAAGCCATAAATATATGATGCTAATAATTTCATCAAGCCCACCACAAATTGTATCTAGTTTTCAAGCTACAGACAGGATTTCATTCTACAAAAGAATGTGAAAAAAATTTGCTTCCTTACATATTTATTTTTCTTCCCTTCTATAAATGAAAATAAGGATAAAAAGAAGATTCAAAAAATCCTTTTTTCTTCAGCACAAACATCACAATTAGGGGCAAAAAAGCAGCAGAACCATAATTTGGCCATAACAGAATGCAGATGTTCGAGATACAACTTAAGACACAGTCAACAAAATCAAGCATTTTAAAGAATTACAGCATCTGGTGTGCATGAAAATGTATTTAAATATATAATATGTGCATGTAAATAGCTATAGCATTGATAGAACAATGGAAAATTTGTCTATTTTATTCAGTATTCCTAAAGTAAAAGGAAAAAAGAACAGAACAGAAAAAATAATTTCTGGATCCGATTAGAGTATTGTTTTTGGCTCTGAAAAATGAAAAATAAAAACAATAAAAAGACAATTTTTTACCCTCGTTTTATTATATTTTCACAGTAAACAAACAGAGATTCAGGTCTCAGTTCACGAAAAACAAAAATTCATGATCAATCTGATTGCATAACGAGCTAAACAAGTTCTCAGATCGAGAGAGAGAGAGAAACAGATTACCATGGCTGCGAATGAATCTTAGAGAGAAAAACGAAGAGAGGAAAGGACTTCAGCTTGCGGAGCCTTGTAAACCCTAGCTGGTGACGCGCAGTGAGATGTATCAGCCACTTTTATAGCTAGGGTTGCTGATCTACTGTGTATATTAAATACCGAAAGTACCCCAATCGTTTACGGGCGTGTCCCCTGCTAATAACTATGATTTGGTAATAAAAATAAGGACAAATTACAATAACAACAACAACAACAACAAAAAATTTTAACGTTTAGCATGTTTTGTAATTTAAACTCCAGGGTTTTGATTTTGATAATTAAAATTTTGGAGTTTTTTCACAATCTAGGTCCTCGTCCATCTTCGTTTCATGAAGTAACGGAGAAAGTCATTTTTGACGCCAAAACCAACCCAAAACAACATCGTTTTTTATTAGCCCCATATAAAAAGCCTCAAATCTTTGATTTCATCATTTAGGGCTAAACTTTGCCCCAATTTTTTTGATTTCATTGATTAGGGCAAAGAGGAAGACGAATCCAGAGCGAGACAAAGCTTTATTTTCAGCGATTGCGAAATATGAGTGAAGGAAACAGCTGGGATGGAAAAAATTATGGTGAATCGACTCGTTGCAGTTGTGGATTGAGAGTGAAGATCAGAACTTCATGGACCCATGCGAACCCAGCTAGAATGTTTCTTGGTTGTCCAAATTATGGCGTAAGTTTTCCACTCCCGTGAATAATATGAAATTTGTTTATATTTTTGTTCCGTAAAACATAGCTTTGATTAGTAATTTTAAATTTATTTACTTGTGTATTTTTATTTTTTCAAAAAAACGGGGCTTATGGCTTCTTCTCTTTGTATGATCTACTCACTTGTCCTCATAGTAGACAAGTCTTGCCAAAGTTGGTGCATAAGGTTGCAAGCTTAAAGGAAAATAGTAACTGAGATTACAAGATTTGAGGAGCTTGTTCAAACTTATCGTAGTAGACAGAAATGAATTGTAGCTAGATTGATAGTTGCAATGATTGTAATTGGAATATTAACAGCGAGTAGTTAGGGAATGTTGGTTAGTTAGTTAGTTAGTTAGTTAGCAGTTATGGTTTAGGAAATGTAACGGCAACTATGCACTTGTCAATTTGAATTTAATATATACTTTTGAATGGAATGAGAATTCATTGTTTTGTTTTTAATGTATTTTTGGATTGTGGTAATGTTTGTTTGGTTGTCTAGATTTTGTAATGAAGTTTATGCATTTGTTTTGCCAATGCTCTGAATGTGTTTGACAAAATGTCCAAGTGAAGGCAATTTGAAAAGAAGCCAAGCATGAACCTGTTCCAAAGTAATAAACACCACAAACCAAACCAGTATACACCAAGCATGAACCAGATTACAAAAGAAGCTATTGTTCAACCTGTTCCAAACCAATATACAGCACAAACCAAGTATATAAAAAAAACTAGTAACTTGTCAATCGCATTACAAACCAAGTATGTATAATAACCATCCAACTTGTCAATCCCATTACAAACCAAGCATGTACAATAACCATCCAACTTGTCAAAACCATTGATGTCAAGTAAATTGTTCCAATTAAAAAAAAAAAAAAAAAAAGAGTAAACATAAAACATAGTAAAAAAGCATAAATGGTTCATGTGACATGACCATTACAAAAAAGAGCAGTTCATAATCCCATCAATCATAATATTTAGTTGAGCATGTCTCTATTAACACTAGCTTGACTACATATGGCTTCTTCAACTTCATCCCTTCTTATGGTTACTACTGGTGTTGGTATCCTCATTCTTGATGCCCCCTTTAGTTGTTGTGACACCTAACTAGTTGATCTTGTTGCATGTCTCCTTTGTGGTGGCTGCTGCTGTTGTCCACCAGTTGATGTTTCCCTAGTTATTGCATCTAATCTGAATCCCATGAAAGTTTGTCGACTCCTCACATGTTACTAAAAGCTTGTTAAACCACACTTGGAGCATACATGGAGGTCAAATACATAGTACAAATAAAGCATACCAGTACATTACTTACATTCTTGGATGAACTTGTAGCTCCATCATTTTTACCCTTCACAGGCCCCTTGCATATTCTTTGATTATGACCATATACACCACACTAGGAGTATTTGAGGCTGGTACACTTCCTTTACAACTTGAATAGGTTCTTAGGTTCATCTAGGTCTCTAATTCTTTGCTTTTGAGGCCTACCAGTTGGCCTTTTGAGCTTAGGAAGAAATAAAAGGTGGCCCATTTAGTGGAATTATGAGTGCCTCATAAGTTCTCAAGTTGGTCTCTTTTTTGAAAGCCGCACGCATGTCACAACCTGCTCTCTGTACCTAAGGGTTAAGGATCGTGATGGCCAGTAACTGAAGTTACCTATGGCCAATTCTTGAACAAATAAATAAACGCGAGTGGAAATAATATTTAAGTGATGGTACCAAAATAATCATCGGAACTTCTACTTTTATAACAAAAATTCATTAACCAAAAAGGCCAATATTTACATATGAATAGTAGAATTATAAATACTATAAAAGTGTTATATGTGTCTATTCCGTAGCCCCACGTCTAAGACTCTCCAAAAGCTATTTCTGAATTGCATTGTTTTCTGAAAATTAGTAAACAGCTATAAGCACATGGCAGAGTGAAAAATATTAGACAGTGAGCATGAGAGTACAAAAATCACTATGGATAATTATTTGGCTAAAAACCCAGAGATTAGTTTGGTAACTGAAATACATAACTAATTTTAATAACATAAGCAAAATACAGAAACCATATAAGCAAATAATCATAACCACGATACAGAACAAAACAGAACAGAGGTCACTAGAGTGACAATCAGAATAGAGGTCAATAGATTCACGACAATACAGAGGTACGGATTCAAAATGTGGCTCGTACGGATTTCTAAAGGTGGCTCCCACAATAGTGTAGCACTTAGCTCTGCACAGCACTTTGCTCTGCACAGCACTTTGCTCTACACAGAATAGAGGTCAATGGATCTATGACAAACAGAGGGTCACAAGGTGATCAATCAGAAGCCAATGGTTTATTTAAGTCCCCCAAGGCGTAGGACTCCCGTGTGGTACTTACTGTAATAACCCTGACCCGTAGTTAGCTACTAATTAGTAATTAAGGGTGTTAGTTAAGCGAATTAAATAAATTATGGGTTTGTTATGTAATTTGCATGACTTTTGGCTTCCTATCTGTTACTGGTGGAAATATCTGTCTAGAAATCTGCTTTAATATAAAGATTGAAAGCCTTATCGACGTCCGAAACTGAAATTGATTACACCAATATGTTATTTAGAATTTTTAGAACCTTATGGCGAGTTTTATTAAAAATTGATTCAGTCTGATTTGTTAGGTTGCGTTTGGCAAGCCTTATGTCTAATTAATGCATTTTTAGCACCCTAGCTATATATGTGAGCCTTTAAGCTCATTTGAGCTCATTTTCCCTCGTAACTAAGTGCAAAAATCTAAGAAAACATTTTAGGGAGAAAGAGATTTCATTCTAGAGAGAGAGATGAGGAGATTGAAGAGAGAACTCAAAGATTTGTAGGTGCTCATCTAAATTGTGCAAGTTCTTAGCAAGACCAAGACTCTAGGTAAGAATTCAACCCCTAATTTATGAATCTAAATCACCAACATGAAGATCATGAGTTTAATTGTGAATATTGAGCCTAGGATGAAGATTTGAGTTACCATTCATACATGCATGCATGAATACATGGAGTTTTGATATGTTAAGTTTGATTTTGGGCATCTATGTCGTTATCATGAGTTATTTGGCACATGCATGTGTAATTCATCATACTTTAAAGCTTAAATCCATGTTTTGAAAAGGATTTCCCTCATGCATGGAGCCTTTGAGCTCAATTTACTAGTTTCATGAAGTTGGAAGAAAAGAGTTTAAAAGATTTTACATGCATGCTTTGTTTCTTAAATTTCAAGATAGAATGTGAGTTTTTGGCAAAACCTTGGGCCATGATTTTATGAAATGATCCTAAATTCTTCATGTTTTGCAAGTTTGCTATGTTATCTTAAGTTTTGGGACCCAAGAGATGTGTTTTGGATGGTTGAATTTGAGTTTTGAGCTTGGTGATCAAATCTGGAAATTCCAGAATTTGCATCCACGCTCGAGCGTGAGAGTTCACGCTCGAGCGACCACTCTAAGTGCGTGCACTCCGCTCGAGTGACCAAAAGTTCGCTTGAGCATGAATTGCAAGCTCCCAGAAGTTTCATGTCGTTTACAGATCGCTCGAGCGAAAGAATGTGCGCTCGAGCGACCATTCTCATTTTGCATGTACGCTCGAGCGTGGAAGTTGTAGCTCGAGCGTAGATTGAGACCAACCAGTACTTTTTCCCAAGTTTGCAGATCGCTCGAGTGAAGGAAGTCCCGCTCGAGCGACCTCTCTCATTTTGCATTTCCGCTCGAGCGAGGAAGTCTACGCTCGAGCGGGGACCTTATTTTCAGAAATTTGCCTAAGTGTTCCAACTCATGTTTTGGTATCCTCATTGCATCTTAGGCATTCCTAAGACCTAATTAAGCCTTGATAATGAGGTTATGGATTAGAAACACACTAAGTGAAGAATGTACTAAGTTATAAGATTCAAGAGTGTGTTCTGAGCAATGTGTTAAACAAGAAACCTATGTAAAGTAAGCTAAGCCGTGTTGGCCACATGAATGTGTAATGATAAGACATGCTTGTGTTATGTATTTTGTGATTGTAGGTCAGACTCGAGGATTGATTGACAGCTTACTGGAACCACTGTGAGTAACGTTATTGTAAAGATACGTTTATATGCAATTATGTTCGAAATGAAATATGATAAGCTATGATTTCTGAAATGTTATCTGTTTACGTGAACGAACATTCCAAGTTTGAAATCTATTATGGCATCCATAGATAGTCTCAAGTCATGGGAGACGGCATGAAAATGCGGGTCTATGACATACAAGTAATTACGAGATCTCGTTAGCCACATCATTGTGGTGATATGTGTTTAATCGGTATCCGGAACCGGTTACTCTAGTCGAAAGACGTTCTGTGATGTGTTCTATGGGATGTACCATTATTATGTTCTGATATGAGAATGATTATGCTATGATCTGTTTCCGTTTATGATATGTTCGGATTTCATTCACTAAC